TTCCTTCGGTCTGCTGAAGAGTGGTCGAAGTGAGGTAGTAACATTAAAATTAGTTAACTGAGAAACAAGTTCACAATGAGGAGGTGATAAGTCGCGAAATGCTACAATTTCAACATAACTTTTGCTAAATGGCACCAATTACAAACAGCTGAAGCATCGCAGAGAAAATAATAACAACTGTCACAAAAACCATGCCGCCATTCAGCGATTTTCCAAAGCTACAACAAAGCGCAGGAACACTCGTTGGCAGCACGAATCGCTGTTCCATGTCACAAGGCTGTCGGCAAGTCGCTTCGTCAAGCGAAATGACGCAACTGACGAACTTGTCGTTGAAACAACCAACGTTATTGGTGCTGGGAATAAAACGGCGGTTGACAGAACACATAAACTTATATAGACGATGAGCCCTTCGAAGAAGACGGTCTTTGAAGGGATCGTCAGTGGAATCTTCACCTGGCTTCTCCACTGATTCAAGACACCGTATCCAATAATCAGTGCCTCCTTCCAGATTATTCTCGATGCACGGGTCAATAAATTGTTGCTGGTAGCAAAAATGATGCATATTCGAAAGGTCAGCGAGAAACGGCGTTACATAGTCAGGAACAGTAATTAAACAACGTATGTACACGTCATAGCACTTGGATATATCCACTGTCTCTTCGGTTGTTACGCCGTAACAAAGAAACAATATCACGAGAAACAGCCGGGCATATAACATTTATTTTTTTCACTGTACTCGATACTTCAGCGGTTCCAGTAGTTAGCAAACTTGCGCACTTCCGCTTTCCCGTAATCAAAAAATATGAATTTACTCTAAACTGTCACAATATTTACACTATCTTTTCATAGAAGTTTAAAGTAAAGTTGTAGCATTACAAGAACTGAATGAATCACTGGACACTTCTTGGATTAGAGCTTTAAATTTCCCGAAATGACGCCTCTAATCATCTTCATCTTCCATCGCCGCTTCTCCTTTCGGGTCGCGGAGGCAAACGCGACAGACGTAGCTTCCAACGTTCCTGATCCTGTGCCAGAGTCTGAGCTTCGGTAAAAGACAAATGCAGTCTGGAACAGACTCCTTCCATATATGCCATTATAGTCGGTAATCATTAACGTGCATATTTCAAAACTATCATGTCCACGTCTTGAGGATATGTGGGCAAAACAAATTATTCAAAATCAGCCTTGTCTATGAAAATAATGGCACCTGATTAACAAATACAGACGCAAGAACGCTACGCCTCTCCAAGTGTGTTGTTCGAATAGGCCAAGACGAAAACTATCTCAATCTGTCAGAAGATAGAGATGAGGTGTAGTGTCGATGTTGCACCAGATGACAATTTCAAAATATATACGAGAGACGCGGCTAGCTTGGCTGAGCGTTGGTGCAGGCAAATGACTCTACACTAATTTTCGAAGTAAATGCAACCCGGCACATTATTACTGATTTCTTTGCTTTAGACTTTAAAACTAACTCAGTTTACATATGTACTGTACTGAATTCGTTGAGAAGTCGAGGAATCAAGAAGATATACAGAAACCTCATCGCAATGATCTACAAGAATGCAACTGATAGTTGTAAGAAGATTCTAAATGAAAAAATGCATTAGAACGGTGAAACAATATCACCAAAGTTAATCACAGCAGCCCTATAAGATATTATAAAAAGACATTCCGTTCGGAAAAATAGGGACTGACAAGAAACAGTCACCTGCGGCTTGGGGACCACATTCTCATCCTGCCAACGCTTCTAGAAGTCCAAACAAGAATTTAACCGCTAAAGTACCCAAGCACCAATGTAACATGGAAATTGGACATGAAGCAAATTTAGGTCAATTCCAATAAATACGTTACCGCGCAATCAGTTGAAGTCAATGGACTACGGTCGAAGAAGTGAAAAATTATCTCCATCTAGGACAACAGATATGTGCAACAGAGAAAGGTTTCAAGATCAATGGCGGGATGAGCAGAAGTAGTTCGCCAGATCAAAATGCGTAAGAATCACGGATAACATAAGTTAACGGCAAAATCTTAGAGGCCTCCTTCCAGTTGCGGATCGTGAAAGCATGAAGATGCGTTAACAAACGTCAACAGTAGTAGAAGCTGCTCGATACTTGTACTATGACTAACTTAATTCTCATTTTCCTACAGAGATCAACAATCATGGAAAGTCACAAGGAATGCCACCACAAGGGACAACACAAAAAGACTACTAAAAAACACCGTTTTGCTGCACTGCACTGCACTTTTGGTGTTCGAAATTCAAGTTCAGACTCCAGTTTGACCTCATCTGCCCAAGAGCCAGATGCTAAATCAGCTTTCAGGTTAAACCAGCCGTGTGCTATGAATCAAATAAATACTTAATAATAAATCCGAGAAAATATGCAATGAAAGGAATAAAAAAGTGACAATGTGGTGAATTCGCCTGCCGAAAGAGCCGCAGCAATATTGTAACTGGGCTTGGCAGTAGATAACACCTAGCAATCATCTTGAAATTAAATTACTTTTAAATTCACGCTTACAGACTGCGATGACTGTGCTGACTGCTAGTCTGCTATCAGATGGGTCAATGCAAACTGCAGTTTGAAGGCAAATATATCAGATAGCATCTCACGCTTTGGTATTACCACATCAAACCATCATGCAGTACCAATTCTCCACAGGTAAACGTTCTGCTACTCATTTTCGGCTGGATGCACCAAAACGCAGTGGAATGGATTCTTGCTCAATGGAATTAGCAGTTACTAAGAGAAAATGTAGGCCACCTGTTGGCGTCAAACACGCTAGCCGTAAAGTTCCTAGGTAATAATTCACTGAGCCACTGATCTCCTCCCCGTGACTGTGTTAACAAAAATTACTTCTTTATTACAAATATGGATCTAATGCCAAATATGTGATCCTCACCAGCTGAGTTTGGGGCCTCTTACACACTGTTTTATAACGCCATAAAGGCGAGTGACCCGGATTGAAGCTCGAATTCAGACAACATTCTACCTCCACGAAATCATTCATTACCTGCTTCAGAATCACCTTGTCATGAACTGTTGTGAAATAAGAACTGCAGATCGTTTTAAACTGTCACAGTACTTCTGCTAGCGTCATTAAAATTTTATGATGAGGTATACACCAGTGGAATAACAACGACAGAACTATGAAGAGACAGCTTCCACCATCTCCCGTTTTTGTGTTCTGGTCCGACGGCGCATATGATCGTCTTGCCTTCTTTGTCGCAAGCCAAATCATTGATAAAGCCGGGCTAAAAGCAAATAACCACAGTTGAACTTGATTCTAACCAAGGTGCAACTTACCAAGTGATAACTGCCCATCGCGTCTAGGTGCTTGAAATCAGTGCTACATTTCCAAAACCTGAGCTTCTCATCACAAGAACCTAAACAATACCAAAACAATTGCCACGAATATGTCTAAGCAATGAAACATCGAAATCGTTAATATCATTTAAATTCATAATACCGAATGAACGAATCCTGTTCAGTCCAACGTGACTGTGCACTACAGATTCTTAAACACCACAAAATCGCGGCTTGCCTAAATGATTCTCATAGGCTGGCAGACCTAAGTGAAACGGGGCTTATGCTAAGTAAAATTCGTCATTATGAATTCAAATGATACAATTACTGACGAAATTGAAAAGAATATGCTCATCCTAATTTACTGTTGACTCCTGTTCGATAACACATTGAAACTAGGAAACTCAGCAAAAATGCCGCTTATTACCATCCAGAATGGCGATTCTAAGTTCGAACCATATCTAATTTACTATTATTATTCAGGGATTCCACTGCTAAACGAGATCCAGTAAGCTACGTAAGCAATTGCACAGGTTCACACAATTTCAAGCCATTCAACTTGTCCAAATGTGCATCTAGTAGCAGATAATGAATATCTGCCTGAATCATCGTTTCTATGAACATATGCTGCTCAGTGAGAGAAAACAATGTTAGACAAATCTGGCACTGCAGGTGCCTAAATACCATAGAACCACGGCCTGCTTAAATGCTTACCCGAGAGGTAATTTTGAGTAAAGTAATAATACGCCGAGAAATCTAGTCTTGGAGAAGTTACGCGTTACGTTACAAAATCTGGTGTACTAACGTAGTATTTGATGCATATCCGATGGTGCAACAGTCATAATGTTTCACGTTCTTCTTTTCTGTTCTTGCCTAGCATTATATTATTTATCAGTTTTGTTTACGTTCTTGTTCTATTTTTCTTTTGTGTTAATTTTAAACATGTGATATTTGATAAGTATGATCTAAGTTGAGATAACCAAAATTTCCATACACTAATCTAACGTGACTTTTTCAATCCTGCTGCAAAGTTTGACGTTTATTAATTTGTCATTTTATATACCCTTCTGGGATTTAATGTTTCTATTCAAAAATTTTTTCATTTGCGATTTCGCTCCATTTAAACAGTAAAACGTTAAACATATGTTTTGCCCATTTTGTCTTGAGCAGAAAAATCTGTCATTATGCAATTCAATGACATACCGGAAAAGATCAAATCAGTGTAAGAACAGGAACAGATGGATGAAATCCAGTTCTCCGTAGGACCGTTGTTAGGCATAGTATTTTCATGTGCTCCGTACTTCACACAGGTAGGTTTCTTTTTGAAAACTGACCACACGCTGAGGCTTCTACAAAAAGCGTAGACGAAATTGTCATTTTCATCAATGGAGTAAAGTACTGACCCGTCATCGGCACCAGAGACGAAATGTTCGTCATCAATTAGATGCACACATTCGACTGATCCGCAAGAACTAAATACCCATGACAGCTATGCATAACCGCTGTAAAAGCAATAAAGACAACTCAAAAACAAAAAATAATAAAGCATCGCAAAGTTGAACATTTGTTCGAATGATGAAGGACATTTAGTATTGCAGTACAGTATAAAAGTATAATGCTCTGCAGTATAATCCAGTATAATACAGTATAGTACCAATGCTCTGCAGAAGGATATTCCTTTCTGTTTATATTAATAAAAATATATTACGTAAATTGAAGATAAATTCGAGTTGGACTAGTTTCTTCATGTTACCCCGAAATTTTTCACGCTCGCGTTTCTGACAACTGCAACAACAGTACTGTCGTTAGCATATTTCAGGCACATTCCCCGCAGTTCAAGCCTAGAGTTGGTGCATAAAGTGAAAAGTAATGGGAAGAGAAATGAACCAATTTGAAGAGAATCTTGAGATCGTTCATATAAAACAGAAATAAATGGTAGAAACAAATGTTTGAGTCATTTCAAAGCATCAAAAGTGACCTAATTAGCCCAAAGTGTTCTGCTACAGCTCGGCTGTTCCACGTCTGTACTGGAAACACTATCGACGTACGCCAAAAACGTGGATCGACGCCGTTTTTCAAGCAGCGGTTAAAGGTGCCAGTGAATACTGTAGCTTAAACGAACAGCATTTCAATAATATTTGATGATATGGAAAAATTGCAGAAAAACAGCTAAAATGCTAAAAGGAAAAATAACGTATCAATGTGATAAACTAAAGGTGAATATCATTCAACTATGAAAAAATTCATTTTCTTCAGGAATTACACAATTTATTTCCTTTAGCACCAATAAAATAGTAATGTAAAATCCATTATGGCTAAACCAGGTTACTCTTTAAAGATGTAACAGAGTAAAATATTTTGCTAAACAGTATTATTCGTTTTTTGGTATCAGAAACAATCAGACGGTACACACAGGCAAGAACAGTAAAGGGTAGACATCGTAGGTCATAAAATTAGTAATAAGCGAACGGCGGAAAACCTTTTGAAACCAGCAAATAAGTTAACTAATTAATGAGTAAAAACGACTCAGTGTGTGCTTTAAACGTTTATGGCAGAGAGTTAATAAGAGGCTACAGTACACCAGGAGTACATGGTTCAAAGCCGGGACGCTCGGTTTTTTAGAACGATAGCACAATGAAAGCATAGGAAAGAGCACATCTTGGGGGGGGGGCAGAATCAGATTCTACTCGGTTTGTCATGTGGTACAAAAAAAACAAGAAACGTTGCATTGTCTGGCGTCACTCACTTTTCGCCTCATCTTCATGAGCATGACAGAGAACAACGCAACAAATTAAACGATTTCAATAATAAACCTAATTTAAAACATACCTGTGAGCACGAAAAATTAGTTGTGATTCTTCGGGAATCTTCCATATTCGAACCGTTCTGTCGCGAGAACCACAGGTCACGGCTCGTTCCCTGCTGAGGCAATCGATGGAACACACAGTATCAGTGTGGCCAAACCTAAATTCGGTAGTCATTAAAAGTGGATAGATGTCAGGTCCATGTTTAAAATATATCATGGTATGAAACGGCGAAACGGTATAGGTTCATAGTCTTTTGTTTACCGATTACGAATCGGATCGAAAGGTCTGTTATTATCAACCAGTGTGGAAGCAGGGATCATTGGATGAGCATAAAATTCACAAGGCGAATTGTTTCGCCCATTCATCTGCAGGGATCAAGAGTAGAGATTAATAAGAAGTTGTCAGAAAGAAACGACACAAAAACATTTACTCAACAGTAACCTAAAACAACGGAATCTAGTGCAATAAACAACGGTAACATGAAACGTTTACCGCTAGAACTCAAACATCTATGGCAAGTAAAAATTTTGGAGTTCCAATCTGACATCGTAACTTCGATGATAACTATCGACTAGCTGAGCTAAAATAGACGAAAAACAAAAAAAGCGAATGAGCTAACTGAAGTTTCTGTAGTTGACCAAAACTCGATTAATTTATATCTCATTTAGAAACGTAGATCAGTTCCAATTTTAATAAAATCAAAGTAAATAAACAATTCAATCATGACTACAAACGACAAAACATTCGTTAATGCAAAATATGTTTCGAACCAAAAACAGTGTGAAGTTTCGTTTCGAGGGACAGCAGACAAGAACAAATTTCCCTTGGTCTTTACTACTCAGACAGGTATACTGGAGTAACACAGTCACTATGATCTAAATTACAAGGGAAATTAGTCATGCTCATTACTGCGTTATTAACATATTTATTAATCTTTTTGTTTGCTTCACGTTATGACAATTTTGCTATGCATCGTTTGAAATGGGATACGGAGTAACGAAAGATTAGCATTATTTGCAAAATATGCATGTGTAATAATTATTTCAATATGGCAATTGTATAAAACAACAAGTGTATTGCATTTTACAAAAGTCTTACATCGTGTCGACGTATCCCATTTCATCGAGGTCCCAAATTTTAACCGACCGGTCCTCTGAGCAGCTGTATAGTTGATTATGTCCGCGGCGAAACTTCAGGCCCTAAGAACACCATTCGTAGAAGGAAGTCA